GAACATTCATTTTAGACATAATGTCTCCATCCATTCGTGCAGTTACTGGAGTCAGTTCCAGAGGAGTATATGTAACTTTAAAAATTCTTTTTTTGCACACAGGAGGCAGAGGCAGGTGGGTCTCTGAGCTCAAGGCCAGCCTGGTCTACAGAGTAAATTCTAGGACAACCAGGATTACATAGAGAAACCCTATCTCAACCCCCCCCCCAAATAAATAAGATTATTTTGTTAATACTGTGTGTGTGTGTGTGTGTGTGTGTGTGTGTGTGTGTGTGTGTGTGTGTAAGGAAAACATGAGTCTCAGGGATTGAATTCTGGTGTCAAGCTTGGAGGCAAGTACCTTCACCCACTGAATCATCTCACTATCCTGTAAGTAGCTTTTTGGTTGTTTGGGTCTCAGTCTGTAGTCCAGGCTAGCCTCAAACTCATGGCACTCTTCCAGGTACTGGGATTTATGCTACTAAGCCCAGCTTGCCTAACTTTAAAAAATTGTATGACATTGGCTTGAAAATCAGAGTGCATATTTATTTATTTATTTATTTATTTATTTATTTATTTATTTATTGGTTTTTTGAGACAGAGTTTCTCTGTATAGCTTTGGAGCCTGTCCTGGAACTCGCTCTGTAGCCCAGGCTGGCCTCAAACTCACAGAGATCCGCCTGCCCCTGCCTCCTGAGTGCTGGAATTAAAGGCGTGCGCCACTGCCGCCGCCACCTGGCCAGAGTGCATATTTATACATGTAAGGGCTACTTATTTCATAAAACATTTCAGTTACGTGTATGTATACTTAGTATAGAATGTAGGTTTTACTGTGGGTCTCAATTTAAAGTATGAGAAACAGTGTTCTAGGCCAGGGTGAAGTTCTGCAAGTCGGGGGATAGTTATGGCACACAGGTGGGCAGGCTGTCAGGGTACTGAAGGCTTGGCTTCTGGGTGTGTAGGACTATAGTGTAAGGGTCAAGGACATGGACATGGCCACACAGCCCTGGGTTTCATCTCAACTTGCTTCGTACAGCTGTGCTTGTAGGTCTGGCATTCTATTGTTAACGGGGAGAGTGACCTTGTCCTGAGGTTACTAAGGAAATGTACATGTGATAAATTAGTTAAGTAGTAAGTGATGTATAAATGCTAACTACTGTTGTTGATGTTGCTATTGTTGTTGGGGGTTTTGATGGTATATGAGGCCCTGAAAGGGTGCTGACCAAGAGAAGAAAGAGCATTTCAGACAAGAGGGGTGGGTGGGTGACAAGGAATAAGCATGTGTGTGTGTGTCTGGTATAAGAGGGCATGAGCACTGTGTAGCACCAGAAGGCGGTGCTGAAATTATAGGGAGAAGATACCAGGAAACTTTTGTCCTAGCTTGGGAAAGAACATTGAGCAGTAGAACCTGTTCAGCAATAGGATGGCTGCCCTGGACTAGCCTGTGCAGTTCCAGGAAGGGCTGTTCCAGATTGTTCTTAGTAGGCTCTTTGGATGTAGAAACCCCCTCAGACCACCCTCAGAAACCACCTCTGAAGAGGGTTTTCTGGAAAGTAAGTGTGCTCCTGATCTGAGACACCCCACACAGAACATCCGGTCAGTTTCTCTCTCACTACTAGCAATTGGCTCACACACTCTACACTATTAGGAGGAAGCCACCTTAAGGCCTTTATGCCCCCATGCTGTTTGAAGTGTTCCCATCCTCTCAGCTTCATCCCACAGCTCTCTTCTTGGCATCCTTTCCAAGTCAATTCACATAGCCTGTCCACGTACAGAAGAAAACAAGCACAGGAAAGGAAGGGCTTAGCTTGTTGGCTTTGGTGGTGGTTTGGTTGTTGTTTTGTGTTTAGATTTTATTTTTATTTACTGTGTATGAGTGTTTTGCCTGCATGTATGTCTTTGTACCAGTGCTTGTGGAAGAAGAGGGCATCTGATCCTCTAGAACTGGAGTTATAGATAGCTGGTAGCTGTCATGTGAGTGCTGGGAACCAAACCCAGGTACTCTGGAAGAGCAACCAGTACTCTTAACTGCTGAGCCATCTCTCCAGCCCCAGTGGGACTTGGTTGTTGTAGAAAGAATTCCTTCATCCAGACAGATGTTTTCTAGGATACTGATGGACTTTATTGAAGGATCTTTTAAAACTGGTTTTTTTAAAATGGACATCCTGTGTGGGAAGACATTCCCACCTGTAGTTAGAGAATGTTATGAGTGCTAGGTAGGGACAGCCAGGCCTTAGTGTCAACCCTCCCAACATCCAGATTAAATTCTTTTACTGGAAGACAAGTCATTTAAAGGAGTGTATTTCCTAAAAATTTCCTCAGTTTAAGGTTTTAAATTTCAAACAGATCTTCTGGTTGATATACACATTGAGAGCAATAGCAGCTGTTTGTCTTTGAGAGCTTGCCTCATCATTGGTACAGCCTAGAATCAGTGGTGTCTTAGAACCCAGGAAATATGACCTTTTGTTTTGTACCCTCTTTGAATTCTGGCTTGATGTTTGACATTGGGGCTTTGGAACTGCCAAAGCTATCATCTGGCATCAGTTGAAAGAACTTTCAGCATGTTCCTCTGTTTGCAATTGGGAGAATAGGTATTTCTGAGGCCCTATAGCCATATTTTACCAACAAAACCAGACCCCAGGGTTGAGATGTCATATAGGCAGGGATTTAATCACATGGGGATTCTTTGGCAAGTAACAGTTTCAGTTGTAAGTCTCATCGTCTTTGAACCTTAGTTTCCTATCTGTACGGAGGGCTGAATCAGATGTTATCACATCCATAACTGCTAGAACTTCCTGTTGACTCGTGGGCACTCTACCCTCTGTTTAGTTAACTAGAAGGCTCATCCCCGACTTGTTGCATAAGTGAATACTGTTATTGGTATACGCGTCATTGTGGCGTGGGGTGTAGAGACCTTTGGTTTCTGCTTCTTGGTATTTGGGGGTTGCCTGAACATGTATATACTCTTGTTAATTACTTGACCCAAAGGCTTGAGCACTGCTTTGTTCTTATCCAAGAGAGAAAGAAAGTATCTTTGTGCCTTGGTTCTGCCTCTAGATAGAGAGAGAGCAGTTTAAGGCACAGTGACTAGTTTCAGTGTGTTGAGGGGCCCAGTTTATTATCTAGGCAAGTTCTATTCCAAGGCTCAGCTCAGGCTCAGTTACCCAGATAAAGTGCACTGAACAAGAGGACTTGCCTTTTGGTGTCCTGGAGGCCTCAGCTCTGCCATGGCCCCTCCCTCTGCTGTTGCAACCAGTTCAAGTCACATCAACATGTTTCCTTCCGGCAGAGAGAATCAGAAACTCCAAAACTGGGCCAGGCCCAGCTCCACCATGTCCTGTTCCAGAGAGCTACCCAGAGCTGCCTCAAGTGCCTCCTGCCCTGTGCCCCTTTCAGGGAAGTCAAATGGGACTGAATGCCAGCTTTGGGCTGTATAGGGTCTGGCTCGGAATTGAGTCCCAGGTTCCTTCCTGATTTTTTATCTGACTCTGAGTGGGATACCCTCCCTGGGTATGGTAACCTCTTGAGCCTGTTTCCTCGTCTGTAATCAGTCCTTCTTAATACTGTAAAGTACTTAATTTTTTAAAATGATTTATTTATTTTTATTTTATGTGCATTGGTGTATTGCCTGCCTACATGTCTGTGTGAGGGTGTTGGAACTACAGACAGTTGTGAACTGCCTTGTGGGTGCTGGGAATTGAACTGGGGTCCTCTGGAAAAGCAGCCAGTGCTCTTAACCGCCGGCTGAACCATCTCTCCAGCCCCCAAGGTTTTGTTTGTTTGTTTGTTTGTTTGTGGCAGGATGTCATGTTTCCCAGGCTGACCTCTTAAACTCCTGCCTCTACTTCCAGAGGGCTGGGATTATACCCAGTTTATAAAATACTACTTTTCTTTTTTTACTTTTTTTCTGGTGGTACTGAGAATTGAACATAGTACCTGGCACATGCTAGACATCCACTCTATCACGGAGCTACATATTACCAGACCAAGTACTTTCTTACTTGGGGAGTCGGGGAGGAGCTTCACAAAAACACAACAAAGAAATGTAAGATTTCAATAACCCAATACTTGAAAATGCACTTAAGGAAATTGTATGTGAGAGAGAGTTGTACATGTACATTTGTGTTATGTTTGTCTGCTTTGCCATGATTCTGTAGGTCAGATTAGAAGTAGTATGTAGAATGCCTGCACTAAAAATGTAGTTTCCTTCTCTCTGCCTTTGATAGTTCTGTGAACTGGATCTTCAGGGCTGGCTCCCTGAGGATGTGTACTCAATGGCTGTGCTCTCTGCTTAACACAAGGATTCCTCCCCCAGCCCACCTCTGCCTGCAGTGGTGCTGATCTGCCTGGGCTGAGCCTCGGCACCTATCACATGTCAACCCCACAGGGGTCTGGGAACAAGAATCTGCTTAGCCTGCCCAGGACTGACACAACTGCTCAGTCAGTAGGTGTGCAAATATAGAAGGTGGCATTTGAAGGGACTCTGAAGTGTCTGTATGATTTTATAGGTGGAGACCACTTGGGGAGCATTCCAGCCAAGGGGTTGGCGTGAGTAGAGGTTGAGAGGTGGGAAAGAGTGAGGATGTAATTGGGAAAAGTCTGAGTAACTAGTTTGGCTCAGGTGATGAAGAGGTGAGCATGTTATTTCTGTACTTGCTTGACTAGTTTTTGCATCCAACTTTACTCCTAGCATGCTGGCCCCTGAAGAGGCTTATTTACAAGGCAGGCCCTAGACAGGAATGCTTGACTTCAGTGCACAGAGGCACACAATCAGCCTTTGCCCCAGAGAGGCAAGGTGTCCCTGGCCCCTTGACTCATTGGGAGAGTAGGCACTTGCACCTGTTGTATCTGGCCTGTGGCTTTTGTGGCAGGGGCAGCGTTCTGCTCATCTACAGTAGAGCATCATAAGTCTGCAGACCTGAAGGAGGTGTAGAGGCAGAGTGTGGTGGGCTACAGGGCTGGCCAAAGCCAGGGTTTCTGTTTGTCTTGACACATCTGATACCCTGCCCTCTGATCCACAGGCTGGAGGAAGTTCCCCTGGAGGTGCTGAGGCAGAGGGAGTCCAAGTGGCTGGACATGCTCAACAACTGGGACAAATGGATGGCCAAGAAGCACAAAAAGGTAAGAGGCCTGCCCTTCGGCCTAGGGCTGAGAGTTGGCAGTCCAAGGAGGAGGAGGAGGAAGGGGGTGAACTTCATCACTGCAGCAAAATAGGGGCCTCTCCAACTGCCAGGCTGTCTTAGGTGTCCTCCATTGGTCAGGTGGGGAGCAGAAGCTGGCTTTGGGACAGGGACAAAGGACTTAGCATATGACTTCAGAGAAGAGATGCATAGAACTTTGTCCTGGAGTTAAACCTCAAAGCCACTCTGTAGCCAACAGCCCTCATGGGTAGTTTTGTGTTAGCCCTGCCCAGTGAAGGGCTTCTTGAAGAGCTTCTTAATATTAGTGCAGCTAACTTGTGGGAGCATTTTTAGGGTTCATGTCTTGACTGCAATAATCTACTAACACCCCGATGGAGTTAGTAGTAGTGGCGCTCTTGCTTTTATCAGTGACCTAAAAGTCAAGATTTGAAGCCAGGCAGCAAACTTTAGCATCTGCCCTATTGACCACCATAGTAAGGGCCTTCTTCACCGCCTAGACAAGTTGATGATTTTCCTCTTGTCTCCTGGCCAGGGTGAAAAGAAAGAAAAGCAGCCCTACAATTTACAAATAGTTTTATAAAAATGAGAACACCCATTCCCTGTCTAGTTAGACTGTCCTTAGGTAGAGGCTTGCTCAACCTATGGGAATACCATACTCACCTACCTTTCTGAAGTGTGTGTGTGTGTGAGTGTGTGTGTCCTTGGCAGCCCTTTGCAGAGTTTAATCACTGCCTGGCCTCTCATGGCCATAGTCTATGCACAATTTCCCATTGCCCATTGCCCCTGTCATCAGCTGACACACTGGTCTGCTGGCCTAGGACTGAAAGTCTGGAGTGAGTGTGGGCTCAGTCTCACACCCTGTCTTCATGCGTGAGCTATGTCATTTAGGAGAAGTCGTCTTCCTCTTTTCAGACTCAGAGTCTAGTGGGAGTGATCAGCCTTTTACAAGGATCCTTATAAGGTGGTAACAGGAAGTGCTTCACACACTGGGGGTGGGGGGCTCACCCAGGCTGGGACTCTTTCTTGATGTGTAGGGTTGGGAGTAGAATTCAGTGATAGAATATGTGCTTAGCATGTACAAGGAAAGAATCTCCCCGCTTCCTTCTCTCCCTCTCTCACCCTTCCTTTCTTTCCCCCAATGGAGTGAGTACCTGCTTGCATGTGTGTGTGTGCATACTTGTGTGCCTGTGTGTATGTGTGTATATCTGCCCGTGTGTGTGTTTTGCTCTGTAAATCAGGCTGGTCTCTAACTTGCTGTAGTTCTTCTGCCTCCTAAGTGCTGGGATATAGGCATGTGACACCATACCTGACAAACTGTATTTTTAGGACACTTACTCTTCGCTTGTTCCCCGACTAACTTTGGGGTCCTCCCTTGTCTTTCCTGCAGGTATAAACCTGAACTGTAGCTAGCTCTCTACCTCTTTTTTAGAGCACTCCACAGCCCTTCCTTTTCCCTTTGGCTTCCCTCATACTGTGGGTAGAGGCTAAGGGCTGCCTTTGTCCAGTAGAGACCTTCAGAGACATGCTTTATCCCACTGTACAGAAGCCCATACCAACACTGTGGCCTCAGCTGTGGCCACACTGGGTTCTGCCTGGGTAACCCCTGCCTGGTTCTGGAAGCATGGATTCTTCCATTCAGGAAGTCATGACACAGGAAATATAATAACCGTTTTGGGAAGTGAGCTCAGACCCAGCATTTCTCCTGGACTCATCCTTAGTCCTGCTAGGAGGATGCCTTCCTTCACCTCCCAGTTGTGCTTGGGACAGAAATGAAGGTCTGCAGGGAGTCAGGGCTCTGCCCCCCCAGAGTTCAGCAGGCAAGGGTGTGGCTTCACTTAGCTGTCATCAGTGACCGCCCTTCAAGTGTGCCATAGCAACTGGTGATCTTTTGAGTATTCTGCCTGCGCTTCCTCATGTGTTATCCTAACTCATTCTGTCCATCCTCCCTAAGACAGGGTGATGACCATCTCCAACACCTTTGTGCTAAAGAGGAGGGATCTGGGAAAGGTTGAATGTGCTCCTGACTCTCCATTCCCTGCCCTGGCCATGGTGTCCTGCAGCAGGCATGTGTGATGGGCTAAGAGAAGGTTATCTCATGCTGACCTTGCCCAAGTGTGGGAGCTTGAAGGTCCTGTGGCTCTGCACTGTCCTATGTCCCACTGCCAAAGCCTGCCTAAAGTGGCTTCCTTACGGTGACCCCTGTCCCACAGCAACAGGAAATTGTCCCCAGTGTCTGGTGCAGTTCTCTTCCGCTCCCTTCTCTCCCAGTTTTCAAGCTGTCAGAAGCTACTCTTCCTTACCGACTGCATTCTACAGCCTGGTGTCTGTCTCCTTCCTGGTCCTTAACTTGCTCTGAACTCTGGAAACTTCCTCTTGCTTATGCTGGTCATCAGGAAGGCCAGGTCCTTTGTGCTTCTCTCCTGAGGCTTCAAATGGGACTATCTGAGGGGCTTTCCAGGTGAGGAGAAGTTAGGCGGCGGCTGAAAGCTGACACTTTCTGTGCCAAGTGTCTTTCTGGGATGATGGTGGAGAGAAAGCCCCGCACTAAGCACGTTTCTCCCTCTAATGTAAGTTCTTCAACCTCACACAGTCATATGTAACATCTTCAGATCTTTTTTTTTTCCTTAAGAAAATTTTTTCATTCATTTTACACACCAATCAAAGATCCCCCTCTTCCCGCCCCCAGCCTCCCCCAACCCAACCCACAAGAAGGCAAGGCCTCCCATGGGGAGGCACATCCAGTAGAGGAAAGTCCAAGTCCTTCCCCCTGCCTCAAGCCTGGCTGCACGAGGTGTCCCGTCATTCAGCTCTTAAAGCAGGTGAGAAGTGGCACAGCCAAGGTCAGGGTGGGATTCAAACCCACAGCAGTTGTTCTCACGCCACAACTACTTGCCCCCTTGATCTCAGGCCAGGCTGCTTAGTTCAGGGGTGAAGGAGGGTTACTGTCTCCCAGCATCCTCTCTGCCACCATCCCACAAACTCAGGCCCTCTGCCTTTGCACTCACCCACCTGACAGGTCAGGCAACTGCCCTGACAGCTTCTTTTGGGGATCATGCCCTGGAGGAGCCTACTTCCTTTCACCCATCGGTTTCTGAGGGACTGGTGGGGTAGGAAGTACTCAGGGCTGGGTCTCTCTAGCCTGTGTGGCACAGTGTAGAGGCGGTAGGGTTTCTGATTCTGTGATAATAAGAGTTTTCCTTATTCTGAGGAAAAATGTTCTGTTCTTATTTGTTTTCAAATTTTCATAAAAGTATATATTGTACATAGAGCATATTCCTACCTGTGTCCCTTTCCTCTCTCCTTCCCTTTAATATCCTTTGTTCCCCTAAACAGTTTTGTGTCTTCTTAAAAGACATTATAGTTCGCTGGCCATGGTAGCACATGCCATTACTCTGTGGATATCTGTGAGTTCAAGGCCAGCCTGGTCTACACAGCAAGTTCCTGGCTAGCCTCCCTGAGCCTCCCTCTGAGACTCAAGGTGTGTGAATGACAATGAGGACATGATGCTCCAAGGTGTGGTTAAGGAAGTTGTTACTGTAGACACAGGGGAGAGAACAGCCAGAGGCATCTGGAAGAGTCCAGAGCAGGGCGAGAAAGTGGTGGACTGAGCTTGGCCAGCAGACTGAACCAGAAAATATGGAGGTGTGGGGGGGGGGGGTCGGGGGAGATGGGGACAAGAGAGAAGACCAGGAACCAAGAGCAGAGGACAGAAATGGCAGGGTTATACAGGAAAGAGAAGCTGTGGGAAGGGAAGAGAAGTCCTTGGACTGGAGAAGTTTAAGGTGGGGCGTGGTGTGAAGAGCGGAGAGGAGCCACAGGTTCTGAGTGAACCTGGAGCCTTGCATTTGCTTTGATAGGCTAATAGGCACCACAGTTAGCCATTTGTCCGGATTTCTTTAAGATCTGACAGCATGTCCCATCATGCCTGACTTCTTTGTAAGAGGGATTTAAGTGAGTTTGGTGTCTACAGGGGATCCCAGAAACAATCTCCCATGGTTCCTAATAGTTGGCTATAGTCCTGGGGTCCAGAATTCTGTGGCTGACCTCAGGAGTGCCTGTGTTGTCATTAGAGAATGTATGTACACTTTGCCATTACCTGGGAGCAGCATGTCTGATTGCAGTCCCCACCCCCACTATGGGCTCTCCATTGCAGGTGGGAAAGCCCTCAGTTCTTCCCTTTCTGCTCTTGTGTGCATGCTCACAGAAGGCCCACCAATCCTTGGCGGAGGAGCTGCCAGGGTGGATGCAGGGGCATAGCTGTCCTTTTGACTTTCAGATTCGTCTTCGGTGCCAGAAGGGCATCCCACCTTCTCTTCGGGGACGAGCTTGGCAGTACCTGTCAGGAGGCAAGGTGAAACTTCAGCAGAACCCTGGAAAATTCGATGTGAGTTTTCTTTCCTTCACCTCCCTGTTATGTCTCTGGATTGGGTATGTCCCCTGGCTGTGGATCCCCCATGTGCTGTCCTAGACTTCAGTAAATGACAATTGGCAGGACCTCTACTCACAAGCCTCACTGCTCAAGACCCAGATTGGCCCAGTCAGTGAACCACATCTCCTAGAGGCTGGTGTTCATCTAAGGCTCTACCCTTAGCAGGCCTCAGTGGAATGGGCTTCATTACAGTTCTGCCACCCTATTCCAGCCCTTTCTCAGCAGTTACTCAGGTTTGCTTTGATGGTTGAGCTCAGTGCATTCCTTCACAGCCCTTGGCCATCAGGAAGTGACCCTCTGACCACATCCCCTCCTGATACCTTTAACATGTGCCGTAGTCTTGAGGGGCTTGCATGGTAGGACCACAAGAGCCTTCACATTTCTTGACCCCATCCTCTACTCTGTTTCCTGTCTCTAAGCCTCGCTAGACATGGTCCACTAGGTAGTCTTCAGGGCTACTTGGGGGTCAGAAGCCAGTCAATTGGTAGTCAGAGATGGTGCCTTCTGTAGTCATGCCCCACCGTCCTGCTCCCACCTACCTCCCCAGGGCTGACATGGCATAATACTCTTCTATTCGTTGAACTGAACTACAAAGCCTGTTCCCCCAGAGAATACCATGGTAGAAGTTGGCTACCCTGGGGTCGACCCAGCTTACCTCCAGACTTGGCTCCAGGCATCAGGGCTTTCCCCAGGCCATTGGAACTATGATAGGCAGTGAGACAGAGCTGTCAGCCACCAACTCTTTGTTGATATCCTTCATACTTCAGTAAATAACTTCTCTCTGGCCAAACCTGTTCTCTGTGAAGAGTGGTCAGGGACAGAGCAGGGCAGCCTGGAGTCTTCACTGTTGGCCTGGAGAGGGCTCGAGCTATTGGCAGCACTTGGCCCTGAAGGACAGAGGGCCTGGTGGGGTGGCAGCACTTGGCTAGAGGCAGCTGTGAATCAGGGTGATGGGATGTATATTCCCACACAGCACCCAGACCAGGTCCCACAAGAGCAACTTAACTCTATAATCTTCCTTCTAGTAGCTCTGTCTCCTATATTCCAGTGGGCTCCATCCTGGTCAGAGTTGGCGGTTCTGGGACAGGTGCTCCACCCAGAATCCATAGGGCCCAGACATGAGAGTGAAGGCTGTGAGTAGCTAGCCTCCTGGGTGCATTGTCCAGAAGGAGTGTGTCCACAGTGCAGTGAAACACAGATCTTTGGGTTTTGTTTTGTTGTAGTTGTTTTTTGTTTGTTTGTTTTTCAGGACAAGGTTTCTCTGTGTAGTCCCGACTGTCCTCACTTTGTAGACCAGGCTGGCCTCGAACTCAAGAAATCTGTTTGCCTTTGCCTTCTAAGTGCTGGGATTAAAGGCGTGCACCACTGTCTAGCAGAAGCACAGAACTTTGTATTTGTGTGTCTAGAATAGTGTCCAGAGAGGAACTGGCCACCTCTGAGATGGCTGGTAGGTTACTTATAAAAGGAGGCAGATTTGACAAGAAAGGCCTTCTTGGAACCCTAAAGATGGGTGGTGGGTCATCACAGCAGTCCCGGGGGCCCCAGTGTTTTCAAGCACACCTGGAAGGACTTAACCTATGGATGACCTTGAGGAAGTAGACAAGGGTGGGGTCTTCTTTCTGCTCTGAGTGCCTGAGCCCCAGGGAAGCACAGGCCCGACCTGGGGTGTCAGTGCTCTTATCTAGTCCTGTGCTTGGGGGCCTTTTGCCCACACTACAGGATCTGGTGGCTCCATTTCTCCAGCACTTGCTCTTTCTTGCCTCTTCCTTGGCAGAATCTTCTGGCTCTTTGTTGTTGTTGTTTTGTTCTCTGACTTCATCTCCTGAAGCACTTCCAGCACCACTTAGGTTCACAGAGGCTGCAGGCCCAATGATTATAGCACATCTGTCTGCTGGCAGCTGCACCGGCCTGTGGTATTTAGCATCCTTTCTCCCTGAAGACCCTGCAGCTACCCTTTTCCTTCCTTAGCAGTCCACATGGGATTATGTACCTTGGGCTGCTGAGGTACCAGATCCTACATCTGAGAAGCTGACTTTTGGGGTTCTCAGGAACCACCAGAAGAATTGAGTGAACTTGGGACTCCAGGGGGTGACACCCACTCCTTCCACTGAAAAATCCCAGCCCCTTCCTCTGCCCTGCAACCTTTAACACTCCATGAGTCTCTCCTCACTGATTTCTAGTCCAGTTTCTGACACACTAGAGACAGGAAACAGAGTAGAGGATGGAGCCAAGAAATGTGAAGGCTCTTGTGGTCCTACCATGCAAGCCCCTCAAGACTACGGCACATGTTAAAGGTATCAGGAGGGGATGTGGTCAGAGGGTCACTTCCTGATGGCCAAGGGCTGTGAAGGAATGCACTGAGCTCAACCGTCAAAGCAAACCTGAGTAACTGCTGAGAAAGGGCTGGAATAGGGTGGCAGAACTGTAATGAAGCCCATTCCACTGAGGCCTGCTAAGGGTAGAGCCTTAGATGAAGGCCAGCCTCCAGGAGATGTGGTTCACTGACTGGGCCACTCCTCCAGACTCTCTGTCCTTCAGGGCCAAGTGCTGCCAACAAACAGCTCGAGTCCTCTCCAGGCCAACAGTGAAGACTCCAGGCTGCCCTGCTCTGTCCCTGACCACTCTTCACAGAGAACAGGTCTGGCCAGAGAGAAGTGTGTCAGAGAACACACTAGTCCTTTAGTATTCTAAACACCACTACCTCAGGCTAGGAGAGAAAAGGGGCCTGTGTGAAGTCACTGTGAGCCAGGGCCAAAGCCCAGCCTGCACTCATCTGGTATGTTTGCCAAGGCCTCGCTTCATAGGACTTTCCCAGGTGTAGTGCTTGTTTAGTCTCCCTGCCCAGCCTTCTGGAGTTCCTTTGTATTTATTCTTTCTCTTCTGAAAATTGATATATGGGTTTACATAGAGTAAGATGGACAGACTTGAGCATAGAGCTCAGTGAGCCTGAGAAAACATGTGCATGATGTCAACAATCAGATCAAATGACGGTGCAACTTTTTTATTGTTAGAGCTTGGTGACTTTTCAAAAGTAAACACACTCAGGGTTTGAAGAAGAAGTAAAACTGTTGCCGGGCGGTGGTGGTGCACGCCTTTAATCCCAGCACTCGGGAGGCAGAGGCAGACGGATCTCTATGAGTTCGAGGCCAGCCTGGGCTACCAAGTGAGTTCCAGGAAAGGCGCAAAGCTACACAGAGAAACCCTGTCTCGAAAAACAAACAAACAAAAAACAAAAACAAAAAAACAAAAAAAAAAAGAAGTAAAACTGTTGAAACCTCAGTACCAAACAAGCACTTTTAGCCTATCGGATAGGGTGGTAGACCTGTAATGAAGTCCTGAACAGTGATACTTGTAACATGGGATGCAGGCAGCAGAGAATCTGGGTTTGGTGGCTCTGACTCACACCTGCTTTCCTGCCCCAGCTCCATCATTTTCATACTCTAGGCCTTGTGCAACTTTCTTGACCCTTCAGTTCTCTCATCTGTGAACAGGGTGTTATGACAAGATTCTGTTTTGGGGTAGGGAAGGGGCCAATGAGTCCTATGTGTGTTTCCCACTCAGCTCTGCATTTGGCTCTGAGCAGTCGTAACACCTGTAGCCATTGTCAAGAAGAAGCCTTCTATCTGAAGGACACGACATTATCCCTAGATAAACAGAGTCCTGACTCTGTGATTCCAGCCACAGCCAGGATAGATACTTGCTCATAAGAATCTTCTTATATTTTTGGTTGTGAGCCTAGCCTTTAACAGCTGAGCCATCTCTCCAGCCGGGCGGTGGTGGCACACGCCTTTAATCCCAGCACTCAGGAGGCAGAGGCAGGAGAATCTTTGTGAGTTCGAGGCCAGCCTGGGCTACCAAGTGAGTTCCAGAAAAGGCGCAAAGCTACACAGAGAAACCCTGTCTCGAAAAAACAAAAACAAAACAAAACAAAACACACACATACACACACACATACACACACACACACACACACCAAAAAAAAAAAAAAAGAATCTTCTAAGAGCCCAGCGGTGGTGGTACATGCCTTTGATCCCAGCACTCGGGAGGCAGAGACAGGTGGATCTCTGAGTTCAATACCAGCTTGGCCTATAGAGCGGGTTCTAGGACACCCAGGGCTACACAGAGAAACCCTGTCTCAAAAAACAAAAAACGAAACAAAACAAACAAGTCTTCTGAGAGCTAGGATCCCTCTCAGGCTTCCCAGGGTTCTGCCGTTCTTGCCTCTGGGTTTTCTTTTCTGTCTTCAGGAAGGCCTGGTTCAGAGATTGGGTCCTCTGGTGCCTCATCTGATACCCCAAACAATTATCTCCTACCAGGAGTGTCCCCCACTGCTTCTTGACATTATGTCCTTGCTTCCAGGAGCTGGACACGTCTCCTGGGGACCCCAAATGGCTAGATGTGATTGAACGTGACCTGCACCGGCAGTTCCCTTTCCATGAGATGTTCGTGTCCCGAGGAGGCCATGGGTAAGCAGGCTAAGCATGTGGGCTGTCTTAGGCTGTCAGGGAAGGTACAGTGACCTTGGGGGCATGTGCCCCAGACCCTGCTGTTATCCTTTACCTTCTGTGGTGTGCTTGACCCACTTGGGACTCTTTGGGCTGCTTGCATCATTTCTCTCTAGACTGTTAGACTTTCCTGGTTAGGCCTTTTTGATGTAGGGAGAGAGGTTGGAGGACCAAAACAGTAGTAGGCAGGAGGAGGTGATGTACTGGGCAAGGGGACAGAGCTACCTAGCAGGAGGGCCCTCTCTAGCCCCTCATCAGTCTGTATCTATCTGCTCTCCAGCCCTGGCCCAATCCCTGCTTTCTCTTTGGGCCCTGTCCCTGGGTCTCACAGGGGAGACTGGCCCATTGGTGACCACAAGCACCATCCTTTCCAGGGAAGGGCAGGTTCCGAGGCAGGTCTGGTCCAGTGAGGTCCAGGTGAAGTGGTAGGCAGCAGTCATACCTGCCATCCTCCCTGCTTGTCCTCTCCATAGCCAGCAGGACCTGTTCCGTGTGCTGAAGGCCTACACGCTGTACCGCCCGGAGGAGGGCTACTGCCAGGCCCAGGCCCCCATTGCTGCTGTGCTGCTCATGCACATGCCCGCTGAGGTACCCAGGACTGGGGGGGGCGGGCAGGGGACCTGACCCCGGCCACAAGGGCTCACACCTCTCTCACCCACAGCAAGCCTTCTGGTGTCTGGTACAAGTCTGCGAGAAGTACCTGCCCGGCTACTATAGTGAGAAATTGGTGAGTACCCACTGGCCTGGGACACTCTAGGCTGGATGTCTTCTGTGGCCACTCCAAGGCCTTCTCACTTCTCTCAGAGCCACTCTAGGCTAAAGTCCCGAGACCTGATAGAGGCCACTCACGCACCAGATTCATCAGTTACAATATTTCCATCTGTGCCTCTGACCATCTGATGTTCTCTGAGGCAGTGGGTCTCACTTGGCAGTATCAAAATACCTCAGGACTCCTGGTCCCTCCCTCCTTGACCTTGACATAGGCTTAAGAGCTCATGCTTGAGCCAGGCAATGGTGGTGCCTTTAATCCCAGTGCTTGGAAGGCAGAGACAGGCAAATCTCTTTGAGTTCAAGGCCAGCCTAGTCTATATAGTGAGTTCCAGGATAGCCATGGTTACAGAGAACCCTTCTTGAAGGTGGGGGTGGGAGGAGCTTCTACTTGAAGCTCCATTCTGTTCTTCCAGAATGCTTTTCCCTCAGCCTTCAACCCATGCATGGCCCTTCCCTGGCCTTGACAGGCTGGAGCTCCTGTTCCTTCCTTGTTTGGGATACTCAGCCCCATTGTTCCCTCCCCCATTCTGTAGGTTTGTTCACCTGTCTGCCAGTGCTATGAGCTCTACTACCTGATGAATTAATGTTGACCCAGCCTTAGGAGCCCCTCTGGGCTGTACTCATGGCTCTATGGCCTCGATGTTTCTTCAGGAGGCAATCCAGCTGGATGGCGAGATCCTCTTCTCACTACTACAGAAGGTGTCTCCTGTGGCTCACAAGCACCTCAGCCGGCAGAAGATCGACCCCCTGCTGTACATGACAGAGTGGTTCATGTGTGCCTTTGCACGTACCCTGCCTTGGAGCTCCGTGCTGCGAGTCTGGGACATGTTCTTTTGTGAAGGTACCAGGCTATGCTGGATTGTGGGGGGTGCAAAAGAAGCCCACAAGCCTCCCTTGGTCTCACCACCTGCCCCATACAGGAGTCAAGATCATCTTCCGTGTGGGGCTGGTACTGCTGAAGCACGCACTAGGCTCCCCTGAGAAGCTCAAAGCCTGCCAGGGCCAGTATGAAACCATCGAGCAGCTGCGGAGCCTCAGCCCCAAGATCATGCAGGAAGCCTTCTTGGTCCAAGAGGTGCGGCCCACACCTCCCACTTGCTATCGGAGGGAAGGGGAGCTGGCAATGGCTTTGGAGGAGACCTTACATGCCCCTGCTCCCAGGGTTGGTCAGCCCGGGTCAGGGTGGATGGACCTCATCCTCTTGCTAGGCGAGTGGAGCACTGAGGCCTAGCTTTGCAGTACTCTCCTTAGCTAATCCACTTTGGGAGTCGAGAAGAGCTGTGGTCTACAGCCCTCTCATTTTCCTTTTGTACATTTGTTTTTCCGGGGCTACAAATTAAGAGACACAGGCATGACCAGCTTCTGGGGGGGGGGGGGCAGGGCCAGGCTGATGCTAGTGCATGTTGCAGGGGCAGACATACAGGGCCATTTTGTATCCCACTTCCAGCATTGTCCCCATTGTAGGAAACAGAACCTCATACAGGCAAAATTTCAGTGACTCCCCTTAGTAACCAGCTGAAAATCAGTGGAACTGGAATTGAAGCCTGGACAGCCAGGTTGCCCTGGTCAGTAGGGGGCAATACTGGCTGAGAGTGGGGTTCCTCATTTCAGTCTGGCCCCTTCTGTCCAAGGAAGGTGAGTGGGCCTGTGAACTGTAGGTAGCCTTTTCTTCTGAGACAGTGGGTCTCAGTCATGTTTGACACTCAAACCACAACCATATCCTTCCTGGGTTCCGCTTTTAGCAGACACAGTTAGGGGGTGCTGGTGGGCAGGAGAGCCTAGGATTGGAGGCATTCTTACTGTGCTCACATACCCCTCATTGTCCAAAGGTGATAGAGTTGCCTGTGACAGAGCGCCAGATTGAGCGGGAGCACCTCATCCAGCTGCGGCGCTGGCAAGAGACCCGTGGTGAGCTGGAGTGTCGCTCTCCGCCTAGGATGCATGGTGCCAAGGCCATCCTGGATGCAGAGCCTGGTCCCCGACCTGCCCTGCAACCTTCACCGTCCATCCGCCTACCCCCAGATACAACCCTCCTCAGCTCCAAAGCTAAGCCATCCAAGCAGGTTCAGAAGGAGCAGAGGAGGACAAAGGCCAGTGGACAGATGGAAAAGTCCCCAGCCCCCACTCCAGGCACAGTGGTGACTGCTTCAGGAGATGCCTGTCCTCCTCAGGATGTGCCCCCAAAGAACTCAGTCTCCCAGGACCCAGTCCCGCAGGACTCTGCTCCCCAGGACTTAGTCTACCACCGTTCGCAGGAGAGCCTGACCTCCCAGGAGAGTGAGGACACCTACTTGTAACCCCGGGAGTTCAGGCCTCCAGGTGGGGTCTCCACACATCTTACACGGTTCAGAGACTGACAACACTCCAGGTCCTGTGTACCTGAAGGCTCATCTGCTTGGCCACTGGGCTGGGGTAGAATCTGGCTGGCCCAGTACAGATTCTGCCTGAGCCTCCTATTTATTTTCTCTTGAGTCAAGCTGGCCCAGCCAGCAGAGGCAGAAGCTATGGCCGAAGGAGTTGGGTCTCACTCAGCCCATCCTTCTGGGGTGTTTCCCAGGGCTGGGGTGCTGACATGCGGGGAAGCGGTGGGGTACTCTTTGTGTAAAATAGAAACATGGTTTTGTACGGAAATAAACAGGCTTGTATAGAGAGCTGGTGTGCAGCTAGGGATCCAGAAGGGTATCACCCTCATCCTGGGCCCCTAACCCAGCAGGAACCCCCTGAAACATACCTTCGATACAGGAGGCACCAATCCAGAGCCAGCTGCTGTTCTAGGCTCTATTCTCTCTGAACCCACCTCTGATGCCATGTCTATCTTCAGACTTAGATGAGTTGCTCCAGAGTTGAAGCCCACCACTGGGCAGAGCAGGAAGGAAATAATCCCCCAAGTCCCTGATTCCCTTTTTTGCCTTTTCGAGATAGGGTCTCTCTGTGAAGCCCTGGCTGTCTTGGAAGTCACTCTGTAGACCAGGAGGACCTGGTCTTGAATTTAACAGAGATCTGCCTGAGTGCTGGGATTAAAGAGGTGTGCCTGGCCTGGTACCTGACTTTTTATTGGGGGTTGGGAGTGAATCCCTGAACAGGTAGCTTAGAGCTCTTCCTCCTCCAGGGCCAGGCCTCCATGCCACTTCAGATCCCAATTAATTTCTAAGCACTTCCCGCTGTATCGGGGGCTGCCACCAGGGTGAGGCACTGTAGATGTCTGGCACAGGCTTCCCAGAGGCAGACAGGTAAGGGGAGAAGTTGGTCTCCTCGATACAATGCTACTTTCTTTCCATTTGCTGACACGGTCTACTTGTTAGGCTGGGCTGTGCCTGACAGAAAAGGAGTTCTATGCCCTCTCCCTCCAAGATCCACATTTGCACCCCAGGCCCCTCACCCAAGTGAGCAGACTGCCATGGAGGGGCAGGCAGGTGCTCAGTGACCACCTGATAACTGGTAATAGCAAGAACAGGGTGTCCCTGAGAGAGGGCCCCCCTTCTGCTGAGGAAGCAGCTTTTCTAGTCAAACAATAGTGGCTGTTCCTGGCCTGAGACCAAGCTGGGCCAGACCATAGGAGGGAACAGGGAGGGAGAAACAGATGCTCACTGAGAGCTTTCAGACACAGCCTGGGCCTAGAACATGTTGTCCTGGCACAGCGGGGGATACCGAGCCTAGCAAAGTGAATGGTCACCAGAGGCTCTGGACAGCTCACTCACTCTGCCTCCTGCCTCTCACCCCTGTGGTTTCCCACTCTCCACACCTGCCATGGTGAGATGGACTCAGCCTTTGGGAAGCACTCCCCGCCTCCCTCCAGTTCTCCAGAGGACAAGCCAGGATGTGGTGGCTGCACAGTGTTCCATGAGAATCATCTGGAGTTAGAAAAGCCAGGAACAGGGCTGAGCCCAGCTTCCGTCTGCCTGTGGTACAGGGTCCAGAGCATGAGGTCCTGCATGGGCCTGCTGGGTCCTGATCACTCCTGAAGCCAACTTTAACCTACCTTGTTCAAAGCCTCCAAGCTGAGGCTTGAGTGCCTGGGCCAAATAAGGGCCCCTCGGAGCATGCTGTATCCTGCCATGGAACCAACCTGTGCTTGTTCATTCCTGCTAAGCCTTGGGGTCTTCTTAAACCTTCAGATGCTTGATCATACCTGGGGTGTCTGCCAGTGCTTGGGGCCTTTTTGGATCTGAAGCAAATCTAGATGTGCTCAGACCAGTTGAATTCAGCTAATGGTGACAAGCTTTAAGGAGACTTACAAGGCTCAAGTCTCTGGCCTGAATACCCAGGGAGCCTCAAATGCAAGGGCCTGTCCTCTCAATGTCTGAGCTCTGGGCGTTCCCAGCTCAGGTACTTCCAGGTGGTTTCCCTGGAATAACCTCAAGCTTCCGTGCCCACAGTGTGTTCCTCAGATGGGTGATAGGGCTTTTTCTGTGCCTCCCCTTAGAGGGGTGCATTCTACTCTGGAAGTCGAGTGATTAAAAAACTGGGCCATGCAGGCCAGGTTTCAGCTGGTCAAAACGATGGCAAGGTAGGGGATGAAGTATTATCAATACCAACCCAGGGCAGCCCTTGCTTAGTAATCTTTAGTCCCCATCAGCCTGGTCAGCTCTGCAATCCCTGCCTCCAGCAATAAAAGGAAGGACAGCTGTACCGCTCGCGAGTCACCATCCGGCCTCCACGCTCCAGAGATCTGTGGACAGCACTCCGGCCGTAGCCGAACTCCGGCAAGTCTTGAAGCCCTCTGGAGTCTCGAGGACCTCAAACCATAAAGCCCACGTGCAGGCCTGGAGGATAGACAGGACCCCGAGCTTCCGGCACGTTCCCAAACCCAACACCGCAGGCGGCCAGCGGATAGGGCGTAGCCGGGGCGTGACCTGGACGCCCCGGAGGGGTGGAAGCAGGCTGTGATCCCCAGACAGGGGCTAGAGGAATGGACCGCAGGCCGAGGGCAGCCCGCAGGGCCGGGAAGGCAGGGCTCGGGAGGAGGCGTGGCCACCTCATAGCGGCTGAGGGGCGTGGCCGCCGAAGAGTGGGTCGCTGGCTGGGCGGGCCCGCGGCGTAGCGGGGCGGTGTGGAGCCCCTCACCGCCGCTTCTTTAAGCCGGGCGCCGCCCCGCCTCCTGCCTGGGTCTAGCTGGCGGCGGGGCCGTGGCCACGCGAACTGCGATGGAACTTCACATCCTAGAGCACCGGGTGCGGGTACTGAGCCTCGCCCGCTCGGGCCTCTGGCTCTACACCCACCCACTCATCAAGCTGCTCTTCCTGCCCCATCGCAGCCGGTGCGCACCCGGGGTCAGGGGCGCAGGTCAGACGGGTGGGGGCTCCTCTGTCCCTCTAGGTCAGGGGCGGAGGATTAGGGTCGCCGCGAGGGAGCGGGGACCGGGTGGGGACGCTGTCCGCTCTGGCCGCCATCCGGCCGGGGCCTACCCTTGCTGAGACGCCGCCTATCCGGCCTGGGGAGGTCTCCTCCCCGGGCTTGTCAAGGTGCAAGCTGCCTGGGATAGGCGGCAGTGTAATGGAGCATGCCTTCCTAGCCCTGCGTTAGCCCTTTCCCGAACGCCTCATGTCAAGTTTAAGAGTTGTCTAGGGTGTGGAATGCAGGGGAGATCTGGAGTTGGAAAACAGCGGGAGATCGGAGAGGTGGAACCCAGACCACATTTCTCCAGGGAAGAAATTGAAGCCTAAGGGCGGGTCGGGAAGGCGCCCCGCGGGGGGTCCTGTAGCGCTGCTGGAACAAAGTTCACTTGTCCTGTCCAGCCTGACAGTCTTCCCACCCCTTCCCTTCCCACTAGGTGCAAGTTCTTCAGCCTGACGGAGACCCCGGAAGATTACACACTCATGGTGGATGAGGAGGGCTTTAAAGGTGGGAACTGGCCCCTTGCTCGCCTCTAAACCGTATTCTTACAAGGTGCATGCGATCGATCTAGCTTCCCAAGAGCTTAGATCTCAAAGGCATGGGTCTGGGTTCGAATCCTCCACTCTTCGCTTAAGTACTGTTTTCTCTTATGTAAGATGTAGTCATGGCAGTTTAACAGTATTTAATGAGAGCTTTCTAAACTTAAAGCCCACAAAGGGCTGGATATGAGTCCCAGGCCAGCAAAGGCGGGGGTTCTCACAGTTTTTAGGCCAGATTAAGGGGGTTTCTGTCGCTGTTTTAACCCCTGGTCATTATTTCTTCTTGGAATTATCTCTCCAGTGAAAGCCAGCTTCTCCTTTCCTGGCCTGGGAAGGCTAGGAGTCTGAGGCTTGGGGAAGGAATGCAGGAACAGGCAGCAAGCCCAGAGCAGGGTCCTGGGGCCTCCTGGCTGTGCTTGGGCGAACAACAGCCACACTGGCCCTTGTCCCTCTTCAGCACTGGCACCAGGAGCAGACTTCTGGCTCCCATTTCTGCCTGCCTGTCCTGTCCTCTAAGGCCTAGAGTCTCAAGCCAGCCACCTGGAGCTTGGCCTAGCCTCCTTCCCAAAGGACTTTGTTTCCCCATTCTGCAGGGAAAATCTCTAGTCTACAAGTGAGCGCCTACCCATCAGTAGATCCCTCGGCGCCCTCTGGTGGTGTGATGAAGCCCATTCGGCCTCAGAAAAGTCTCGAGGAATATCCCATTTGCAGATAGGAAACTGAGACTAAACAGGGCTTGGAATCCCAGCACTTAGGAGGCTTTGGCAAGAGGATCAGTTTGAGTTCAAGCCCAGCCTAGTCTACATTGTAAGACTCTGTCTCAGAGCAAACAAACAATGAAAAACCACTGGCCTCGAGGCAGAATGGGAGACAACTCCTGACCTGCTTTGCTAGAACGAACTCACTAAGGTTCAGACTAACCAGGCACGTACCTCTCTGCCCACAGAGCTACCCCCATCCGAGTTCCTGCAAGTTGCCGAGGCCACGTGGCTGGTGATGAACGTATCATCTCACAGTGGGGCGGTGATGCAGGCCGCTGGAGTTACCAAGATTGCCCGGTCTGTCATTGCCCCACTGGCTGAGCACCACGTGTCTGTGTTGATGCTGTCCACATACCAGACAGACTTCATCCTGGTGGGTTTGGGCGGGTGCTGCTGCAGATTGTAAGCACAGGTGCCTGGGGCTGCATAATGTGTGTCGTTTGCCTTGACCCAGGTACGGGAGCAGGACCTATCTGTGGTGATCCACACACTGGCCCAGGAGTTCCAGATCTACCGTGAAGTAGGCGGGGAGCCTGTGCCTGTTGCCAAGGACGATTCCAGCAACGGCTTTCCCCGAGCCCAGCACGGTAAGGTCTGCCCTCCAACACCCAGACTTAGGTGGGACCTTTTCCCACAGGAGGGCTTGTCCCTTAAAGGGATGGGATGCATGGGTTGGGTATTTCCCTCGGACCAGCAAACACCATTTCTCAATGTGAGATGGGATAGGTACACCCAGGCCCTTCCCTGCCCAACCACCAGGGGTCGCCCCAGCCCAGGATTGCTTTTTCACCTTGTGGCCCATGTATCCTGAGCAGGGCCCAGTCCCACGGTGCATCCCATTCAGAGCCCGCAGAACCGATTTTGTGTCCTCACGCTGGACCCTGAGACATTGCCAGCTATTGCCACCACCCTCATTGATGTCCTCTTCTACTCACACAGGTGGGCCATGCATGCTCTCCATCTCTGGCCTCACTCTAGTGCTCTGGGCACGCTGACCTTTGTCTCATCCATCCCTTCTGTCACTCTGTATCCTGCTCAGTGTCTTAGGGTTCCTGACAGCCCGTCAGCCCTCAGCCAGAGGTGTTGACAGAACCACCCTGCCCAAGGCCCTGGGTCTTTGGCAGTTAGGGCTCATCCCTCAGGAAATCAGGATTCTCTTAGAAGGGCCTTTCCAGAACCATCCATCCTGGCTCCTCCTCTGTGTTCTGGTAGTCAGGAAATGGAGAGGGCCATGGGCCTGGCAGAGCCCTTGACCCTGTCATCCCTTTCCAGTGTCCCCAAGGAGGCAGCCTCAGGTGGTCCAGAGTCAAGCTCCATCCCATTTTTCGCTTTCTCCCTCATTGAGGGTTACATCTCCATTGTTATGGACGCAGAGACCCAGAAAAAGTATGTAACCCCTTCCCTGACCCCAAGAAGGCCATAGCCCCTCAGCCAGCCTCAGGAAAGGGGGAGGTAGGGTGCCAGGCTCTGTGGTGGGCAGGAGGACGTGCCCCGGGGATCAGGGCAGATAGGGATGCATGGGTACCCTTCCCATCACCCACCTGCCTCTCCAGGTTCCCCAGTGACCTCTTGCTGACCAGTTCCTCTGGAGAGCTGTGGAGGATGGTACGCATCGGGGGACAGCCCCTGGGTTTCGGTGAGGACCACTCATCCCCCGTATTGGGGGTCAGGGCGAGCCTATGGGTATCCACGGCATCTGTGCTGAGCCAATTGTGTCTCCACCCCTCAGATGAATGTGGGATTGTGGCCCAGATCGCGGGTCCCCTGGCGGCTGCTGACATCTCTGCTTATTACATCAGTACCTTCAACTTTGACCATGCCCTGGTGAGTGCCTGGGCTGGGCTGGGCTGGAGGTTGGGGGCAGGAAGAAATCCCAGCTGATTTAGGGAGTTGCGCGTCCCTGGCATCTCATGCTGTGCCCTTACCCCAGGTTCCTGAAGATGAGATCAGCAGTGTCATTGATGTGCTCCAGCGAAGGCAAGAAGGCCTGACTTCCAAAGGTCCCTAGGGAACACCAGGCTCCCAGCATTCCTTACCACTGGGCTCTCAGAGACTTTTCTGAGCTCTTTCCAGAAGCTGCAGAGTGAGCCCCTGATCCTGCCAAGGGACCCTGGTTCTGCTGTCTATATGTAAGGTGCATGGAGCTGGCACTCGTGGCCATGTGTGCACCCCTAGGCACGGTGGGCAGGTGCTGGCTCCAGATATCTGCCCGCAGATGACACCTTGGTGCTTGGGGCTTGGACCCCGAACCCATCCCTTTCCTCATGACCTCAGTATTTGCACAGTCCCTGCCTGAGGCCATCCCCCTCTCGCCTGGCTGGGTCCTGCTGCCCTGGGCTGGGCTCTGGCCTCCACCTTGGCTTGCCTCCCTGGCCAGGTGAGCTCCGACAGTGCCTTCCCGTCCCGGGCTCCCGAGGAAAGGGTTTTTACATCTCACTTGTTTTTATGACTGTTAAAATAAATAAAAGACTTGCTGAGCTGGGCCCTCTGGTTCTGAGTGACAGCCAGGGTCCCTCCCACCTCCGCGGCTTTTCAGGCAGTATGTATGCGTGACAGATGAGTAGCTGAGGCCTCTGGCACATTCGTGATAAGTCACATGCTTCCCGACCAAAGCTGTTCTAGAGTCTCTGGTCTAGAGTCTGTTCATTCTTAGTGACTTACAGGATGACCTAGAGAGTTCTGGACACTGAGAGAAATTCCCCCGTCCTCTTATCCAATAGTCCCCTGGCTGGACACTGGGAAACCTATTCAGGATCTCCCAAAGCACCTTTCTCCCAGACTACTGCCTGCGTTCCTATGGGCCTGGCCCAATTCTTACATCCCTCTTATGGAGAAACCACACCGTCTATGACACTTGGGATGGTGGTCAGGCCTTTTCCTGCTGAGGTGCAGGGCTAAGCAGACAGACCGGACCCTGGAGGCCACTTGGAGCCCTCCTCGCCCTCTGGTGCTATATGTCTGCGCACATCCGGGCCTGGGTTTTCCGTCATGGGGCCTCCTGCTCAGCAGGACCAGGACTCCATTGCAGCGCTCAGGGCCCCACACATGCCCCGGGAGGTTATCAGATGCCTTCAGCTCAGACCCACCCAGGCTCAGGAGGGGAAGAAGGGTGTGACTTCTGTGTACCCAGGTCAGAATGACTCCCTAGAAAAGCCAGCACACAGGCTAAGCTGCTGGCAGTGTGCCCACCTGGCTCTGGGGACCCGAAGGCTGGGGCCTCAGGCTGCAGATCCGATGAGCCTAGAGCACAGCCCGGCATGGTGAGTGAGTGCTGAGAGGCCTTGGCCAGTCCTCTTCTTCAGTCTCAGTTTCTCCACGCCCAGGAACCAGTTCCTGCTGGGACGTGGGAGGGAGCATTTCCGTGGAGCTGTCTGTGGTTGGGAACGGGATGGAGAAGTCCTGTCTGCTGTTCCGGGAGACTAGTGTAAGCCTGGAGCTGGGGCAGCCTGCACCAGAGGGGGTCAGGACACTCAGGGCTGCCTGCCTCTCCTGTGCCCAGCTGGCCCCTGGGGGGCCTGCCCGTGAGTCACTGTCAGGTGTGGGTACCTTTGTCATCCTGGCTCTCAAAAGCCTCAGGCCTTAACCAGGTCCACACCGGCCCAGCTGCCTCTCAGGACTGCCCACTGTCTGATCCAGCCAGGGCCACGAACCTCGGCCCAGCAGGCTGGCCAGGCTCACCGAGGCTGGGGCCTCGGGCTGCAGATTCAATGAGCCTAGATCTTGGTGGCAGGTACAGTATGTGGCTGTGTGCCGACTTCTATCTATGTCCACACCTGACTTCGTCAGTGTGAGGGCCTTGGCTCTCAAGGCATTAAGATCCTTGGGGCCCCAGGGCTGGGGTTCCAGCCTCTAGCAGGTCCACTGAGTTCCAAGGGGCCTCAGACATTTGAGGGCACAGACAGGGCTTAGAAGGTACCCCAGGGAGGGGCTTGCACCTCAGCCTGGTGCCTCAGGGAGGGGCTTGCACCCCAGCCTGGCGCCTTTCTAGAGGCTGATGGTCTAGGTTGGGCCTAGCAGTCTCCAGGTTGAGGTGGGACTGGGACCCAACCCTTTTGTTCTGTGTAGGCCTCCACGGTGGTCTCGGGACAATGGAGGTCAGTGTGTCAGCCTGGGCTGGCGTTGGCAGGTCTGCCCGAGAGGCCAGAGAAGGTACACTTAGGCATGCTTCCATCATGCAGCTCAGGGCCCCACTCTGGCTGAGGTGTGGGCCCAGACACATGGAGATGGACCAGGAGGAAACCTCAGCCAGGGCCCATTTCTGCCCTCAGGTCTTGTCAATACCGAGGAATCCATCTCAGGCCATCCTTGAAGATAGGAATAGAAATTCAGGGTTTCCAGACCTCTGTCCCCAGGGCTGCCTGGTCCTGTATGTCCCAAGTTGTATCACAGTTGGGTTTGTTGTTTTGTTTTGTCTTTTGAAGATTTGTTTATCTTATGTGTAGAAGTGTTTTTGCCTGCACGGGCATGCCTGGTACCCTCAGAGGTCAAAAGAGGGCATTGGAACCCCTGGAACTGAGTTATGGATGGCTGTGGGCCACCACGCGGCTGCTGGAAACTGAACCCTGGTCCTCTGTGAGAGCAACAAGCGCTCTTACCCATCGAGTCCATCTCTCCAGCCCTCACAGGTGGACTCCTGCTCCTCTGTAGGAGCGAGAAAAGAAAGCTGCTAGCCACCTCGCTCTGCCGAGATCCTGCCCTGCGGGAAAGGCCCCGCAGGAGCAGGAGGTGAGCGTGCGTGTGTGCAGCTGGCCCCGCATGCCCAGAGGAGGCTGCTGCTCTCCCTGACCTCAGTGCCCTCTCTGGGGGCAGGGCTAGAAAGGGGATATGCCCGGTGATTCACACGTGATCCGGTCTTTTTCTCCTCACTCTACATAGATGGAAATGAAGCACAGAGAGCCGAAGTGCCTTGCTCAAGGCCACCCAGTTAGGGCTAACAAAACAGAGTTCTAAAAGGGTCCGTGTGCCCGCCAGGCCTGGAAAGTGTGTGTGCGTGTCTGACACACATACATACACACACACACACACACACACACACACACACACACACACACACACACAGACTTTAACTGAGCCCTGAAGGATGGGAAGGGTTTTGTAAGATCCTTTGTAATCCAAGCTGTCTGCGTTGGTGGCCGGCCGTCTGCTCCTGGTGACAGCTGACGGCGGTTGTGTGGGCAGGCACGCGAGGCCTGGCCCTGGCCCTGGGCTGGATAGGGTGGAGATATTGAGCAATGGCCCCTGTCTGTATCACTTTCCCAAGAGGGTCATGGTGCTGGGGTTCTGAGCCATGAGTGTCTGTCATAGTGGTGCCCAGGGGATTGACTGTGGCATCATGTGGATGCTGGTGCTGCCCGTGTGTGTGTGTGTGTGTGTGTGTGTGTGTGTGTGTGTGTGTGTGTGTGTGTGTGTGTAAATACCCACCTATACGTATGTAGAAGGGACAGTGTCCTGGTGTGGTCATTACTCAATCCTCTTTGGTGGGCATGTGGATGTCTGTGCTGTATGAATGTTTCCTGTGGGCTTGACTCTCTGCATGTATGGCCACATGCGTCTCTGAATAGGGGGCATCTTTGGTGTTTACGTGATCACGTGCCCTCTGTCCCATGCGTCTCTCCAGGGCCCCTGGGTCCCCAAGGACAAGGTTGCCCCCTGCTCGCCTCCCGGTTTCAGCTCTTCTAGTGGCCTCCACTTCACCCCACTTCCGTTCCCTTGCCTGCCGCCCCCAAAGCAAGCGGGTATGGCTTTCTGCCTAGACCCCAAGATAGCACCCGCTCTCCAGCCCCTGCCCCTCCCGGGTCCCCCCGTCAGCACACAACACCTCATGGGTGTTCTTGTTCCTGGTCTCTGCTGACTGTAGAACCCTATTTCTCTTTCCTGTCGCTGCACACGTGAATTGTCCCCAGCACGTCCCTCGAGGAACACAGTCCCACAGCTCTGTTCCTTCTAAAGAAGACCCTGGCCTCCCACTCACTCACGTAACCTTGGAGACCCTTGGCTTTCCCGAGGTGGCTGTATGTCCGTCTCCCTCCCTCTGTCCTGCATCTTTCCTCCCCTCTCCGCCGTCCTTCTTTCCTCCCTCCCTTCCATACTGAAGACATCACCAGGGCTTCTCACGTACCGAGTAACACCCAGGCCCTTACTGTGTCTTTAAGCCCTTCTTTAATTTTTTTCTTAGCGTTTGTATGGTGTATGCACGCGTGTACATGTGTGTATGTGGATGCAGGGGTGCATGTCTGTGGAGGCCAGAGGTCAAAGTCACGTGTCTTCCCCTGTGGCCTGCCACCTCATTTCTGAGGTAGAGTCTCATGGAACCTGGGGCTCCATGTTCCTGCTAGCCTGGCCAGTGAGCCTGTGGGACACAGCTGTCCCTGACCCCCAGTGCCGGGGTTTCAGATGCCCGCCACCAAGCCCGGCTTTACATGGTGCTGGGGATCCGAACTCAGGTCTTCGTGTTAGCGCAGCAAGCGCTTTACCCACGGCCGTCTCCACGTCCCCAGCTAACACAACAGTTGTTCACGTCTGTGCACTGCGCGTGTGCGGTGCCTGCAGATGCCGGAAGAGGGTGTCAGACCCCCAGCACTGGAGTTGGAGGTGGTGTGAGTGCACGCGTGGTGCTGGGAACTGAATTTGGGTCCTCGAGTGAGCAACAGGTGCTCTTGACTGCTGAGCCATCTCTCCAGCTCCTTCCCCAATTTTTAAATTGGCATAAAACTTGCATAATTTTCCTTTTATTCCTCTCTTGGAACAGGGTCTTGTTTTTATGTCAGGCTGGCCCAGAACTCATGATCCTCATGATCCCAGGCTGGGATTACAGGCATCCTGATAGCTATTTCAAATGGAGTGATTCCGTGGTATTTGGCACATTTAGTTCAAAACCTTTTCACCACCCCGAAAGGAGGCCGTTGCTCCTTGCCCTGCCCATCCCCAGTCCACGTTCTCTCTGCATTTTCCTCTCAGTTCATATGCGTGGAGCCACACAACCACACAGTGTGTGAGCAGTGTGCCATAGCTTCCATCGAGCTTAATGTCCTTGAGTGCCATCCACACCGTGGCACGTGTCAGCGTGTCCTCTGCATGTGTCAGCGTGTCCTCTGCATGTGTCAGCGTGTCCTCGTCATGTGTCAGCGTGTCCTCGTCATGTGTCAGCGTGTCCTCATCATGTGTCAGAGTGTCCTCGTCATGTGTCAGCGTGTCCTCGTCATGTGTCAGCGTGTCCTCGTCATGTGTCAGCGTGTCCTCGTCATGTGTCCGTGTGTCCTCTGCATGTATCAGCATGTCCTCTGCATGTGTCAGCGTGTCCTCTGCATGGCTGCTCACACTCGGTTGTACAGCGTGCTGCATTTTGTTTGCCCATTACCTTTTGAAACGTTGGGGGTTGTCCACCTCAGGCTTTAGACTCAGAGTGTGAGGAAGGCGGTATCTAATTCTGAGTTCGTTCTAGAACACAGGACCAGCAGCCCCCTAACTCCCTCCCCTCCACTG